CAGTCACACACAACCATACAATAGGATGGGATAGGATGACAGTTTTAAAATCTAATGTCACAGGGTATAGGGAGAGATTGATAACAGAAGCTTTGTTTATCGAATCAACTACAAATACATGTAATAGGAATGATTCATCACCTGTCCCCGATATTTGGAAAATTCTACTACCCATACGACGAATAGGAGAGAACAAAGAAAACTATAAAACTCAAGTGTCAAAGTCGTGTGATCACAATTGATATGATTATGAACAATAAATTTTGTTCGAAACGTCATCCAGTAAATAATACTGTTTCACTGTGTGATATACCTAATAAACAAACTAATATGGAATTACTTACTACCACAGTGCCCAAGTTTTACACATATATTAATATGACTTATGGTCTTCCTGTACGAAGACTTATCAATAAACTCACTCGACTTTCACAAACTGAAGCAAGATATGAAAATCATCGTATTTTCAACATTCGATGCCAAAAAAATGAAATCATTCCTAAATATTTACGTCTACGAGCTCCAGTTCCAACGGACAGAGTTAGAAGCAGAATAGAAGGCCTACAAAAATTATGCCTGAAAGAAGAAATCCACAGAATCGTAAAAAAGTTGCAACATATCAGATCTGAAATTGAGCAATTAAAACAAAAGATAAAAGGAATAGTTACCAGTACAGATTATGATCTTATAACACAGTCCTCCAGCAATGCAAAATCAGCAACTTTCAAAAAGTCAAAAAATAGTCAAATCAAAAAGTTCAACAAATTATTAGAAGAGAAATCTACATCTCAGAATGATGAAGTCAACAACCAAAAGTCAACGGCGATCGATAAATCAAAGTGGGTTATCAATCTCTCAACACATATATTAAGTCCTACGGAAATAAGTGTTTTAGAAAAGGGACTAAATTTCAATGTATCTGTAGACAAGCTGAAACCTGAGGATGTCATCCCTAAAATAGAAATAGCACTAAGTGGAATAGACAAAATTACGGCTGATGAAGTACGGGCACAATGTGCACTAACATTGAAACGACAAAAATGTGGAAAGCCAAACCTGACAAAACAAGAGTTAGAAGCCCTGAAACACCTTAAGAATAACAAGGATATAGTGATCACAAAGTCAGACAAAGGAAATGCAACGGTAGTATTAGACAAATCAGACTACTTAGACAAGGTAAACACTCACATACGAACAGGACCATATGAGGAAATTAATAAACCAATTGATACAGTTATGAATAAAGTTAAGAAATCCACAGCGGATCTTATACGCCGAATGAAGCCGTTTCTAGGTGAGTCTAAGTGGTTTAACTTAATGCCCAAAACTAATAACCCCAGTAGGATGTATGGTGTTGTTAAAGTTCATAAGTCAGGATACCCCATTAGGCCTATAGTTGATTTTAGAAATTCACCTACTTATGAATTATCTAAATATTTAGCCATGGTATTAAATCCCCTAAAAATCCACTCAAAATCTAGACTAACTAATTCTTATGAACTCAAACGTAGATTAGATAATTTAAAATTAGATAATGAAGAAAAAATGGTTAGTTTTGACATAGTCAGTTTATACACACGTATACCAATAAATATGGCTATAGAGGCAGTCAGAAACGAACTCATTTCTGACCAAGAACTCGAACTTAGGACAAAAGTGCCACTTGAGGACATAATGCTGGGAGTACAGCTATGCCTGACTTCCACAGTATTTAAATTCCAAGGGAAAATATACAAACAAACTGAGGGAGTTGCCATGGGATCACCAATATCCCCAGTGGTAGCAGATATATTCATGGATAAGTGGGAAAGCATAGCGATTAAAACGTTCACCCCCACCCCAAAAGTATGGTGGAGGTACGTAGACGACACATTCACTGTACTTAGAACACAAGATGTAGATAGATTTTTTGAACATATCAACTCTAAGGTTGAAGCAATTCAATTCACTTATGAATTGGAAAATCAGGAAGGGGAGCTCCCAATGTTAGATTGTAACGTAATGAGGAAAGAAAATGGGAAGGTAAACACTAGTGTTTACAGGAAACCCACACACTCCAACAGATATTTGGACTTCCGATCATCCCATCCTATGTCAGTAAAAATAGGATTGGTGAAATGTTTAAATGACAGAGCACAAAAATTAAGTAGTACCAAAGAAAATCTAAAACAGGAACTAACACACATAAAAGAAGCCTTAAAACTTAATAATTACCCGGATAAATTAGTCAGGAAATATGTAAAGAAAAGTAAAAATAAAATAAATAATGATAGTAGTGATAGTGATAATAACAATAATAATGATAGTGATAATAATAATAATAATAATATTAATGACGACACCAACAATAAAGAATCTAAATCATCAGTGGTAATTCCATACAAGGAAGGAACCTCGGAAGCCTTACGCAGAATTCTTAACAAGGCAGGAATAAAAACGGCATTCAAACCCACAAACTCAATTAGAAACAAGCTTTGTCGGCTAAAGGATCCTGTAGAGCCTTTAAAACAAAACAATTTAGTTTATCTAATACCCTGCAATGATTGTCAGGTCAAATACATAGGTCAAACTAGTAGAACAGGGGCAGTCAGACTAGCTGAACATAAAAACTTAGCAAAATCTAGATTGGTTGACCCGAATAAGATAAGAAATCTAGAGAATAGTTCAGCTATAGCACTACATGCAGTCACACACAACCATACAATAGGATGGGATAGGATGACAGTTTTAAAATCTAATGTCACAGGGTATAGGGAGAGATTGATAACAGAAGCTTTGTTTATCGAATCAACTACAAATACATGTAATAGGAATGATTCATCACCTGTCCCCGATATTTGGAAAATTCTACTACCCATACGACGAATAGGAGAGAACAAAGAAAACTATAAAACTCAAGTGTCAAAGTCGTGTGATCACAATTGATATGATTATGAACAATAAATTTTGTTCGAAACGTCATCCAGTAAATAATACTGTTTCACTGTGTGATATACCTAATAAACAAACTAATATGGAATTACTTACTACCACAGTGCCCAAGTTTTACACATATATTAATGTGCTCAAGGGAAGCTAATCAGCGAGGAGGAGACACAAATAAAAGAGTAGGCTGATCACTTTAAAGGACTCCAGTATCAACCATCACCTGTAACTCACCCAGAAATACCACAACAGCACGCAGAGAACCGCCAGTTGACACCAATCCTCCAACGGAAGCAGAAATCCTAAATACGATCAAGCTACTCACAGCCGGCCGGGAATTCAGCAAGACCAGATGGAATTGCCTCCAAATCACTAGAAAAGCGGACCCAGAGACTGCAGCAGAAAGGTACTTACCGATTGGAAGAAAGGCTACCTTGTCAAGCTGCCAAAGAACGGTGACATGGGCTTGTGCAAGAACTGGCGTGATATAAGGCTCTTGTCCACGCCAAGTAAAATACTAAATTGCATCCTCCTGGAGAGAATAAATGATGCACTGAATGCAGAACTCTGTCCGGAACAAGATGGATTCCGGAAAGGCAAGTCATCCGCTGATCAAATTGCGGCTCTCCACACCGTCTTCGAACAAAGCATAGAATGGCAGTCAAACCTCTGCCTAAAATTCATCGACTCCGAAAAGGCATTCGACAGCAAAGACCGGGAAGTAATTTGGAAATTACTTCAACACTACGGCGTGCAGTACCCAAATCTTCATCAACCTCAGCCATGGTACGTGTCAGGTGATCCACAATGGAAAACTCAGTGGTGCGTTTTGAAGTGAATACAGGTGTAGGACAAGGTTACCCGTTATCGCCAACGATAATGCTCCTGATTGCGATGGACTGGATTATGCGGAAGAACGTGCGTAAGGAGCGAGAAGACAAGGAAACGTTCCATAAATAAGAAGACGCTAGAAGATCTGGGTTTCGTGGTTGATTTATGCCTAATATCACATAAACTGTAAAACTTTCAGGTGGGAACCAACAAACCGGCGGGCGAAGCAGCGAAGAAATGACTTCAAGTGAACACAGGGAAGACATTGGTGATGAAGATTAATAACCAACCAACAATGACAAGCACCAACGACTATTAACAGAAGAAATTTGAAAGAGGCAACTTCCTTCACTCATTTAGGAAGCATCGTTTCAACCATATGCAGTGTGAACGGATGGAGATGTGAAAGCCGGATGGCCAGCCAGCTAAAATCGGAGAGGCAAGGTACTGTTTGATCAATTTCAAACCAGTTTTGGAATCTTATGCACTCTGACTCAACATAAAGAACAGGATTCGGGTTCTCAACACGTATGGGAACTCTATCCTTCTATATGAGTCAGAAACGTGCAGTGAGTGCCCCAAAGAGTATTTGCAACAGCCTGCTGCAGACTTTCATCAGCAGCCATCTTCTTCACTGGCTGGCTCCATATTGAAGACAAATGGCCAGCTAGTCAACCAGAAAGAATTGCCAACAAGAAAATCTGACAGTGAACGAGCCACCAAGAGCCGATCTCTCAGCAAAAATGTAGGAGAAAATGGAGATGGATCGGGCATACGTTGAGGAAACTGTCTAACGATATCACGCACAATGCAGGCCATCGTTCGAGTGGAATCCAAACGGGAGATTTTGAGAAGAGGAGGTGAGAGATTATGGGTAATCGTGGACTAAGAGAACGGCTGAAAATAGAGCAAAGTAGAGATGTGTTGTTGAAGCCCCATCTTCCACTCGACACACAAGGAAGTAATAATTATGAGAACTCCTATGAGAAATTGTGGGGTTTTCTTGAGACATATGCAAGGAAGCTATCCTATGGAACGCCTTTTTAACGTTGCATTAGTCATATGAGGACGCCTTTTTCAAATTACGCACTTCTGCTCCGGACGCACCTGATTGTGCGATAGGGATTTATCAGTGTCTTTAATAGGTAGTTTCGTTTTAGGCTACTATAGTTTAGAGTCACCGATTATGCTATATCAGAATGGACAAAAAGGAATAAACCTGTCTGTTAAAAATAGATTTGTCAGCTGGTTTGTTTGAATGAGCTGAGAACTTGAAGGTTGAAAGTTCAAGGGCAGGCCTAGGCTATCAGGCGTGCAAGGATGGCCGTTTTGAAGCAGTCGCCCATACTTTGTCGTGGACATACGCGGCCGGTTATTGACCTTAGTTTTAGTTCTAAATATGCCCTTGATAATCTCTTGCTTACGGCCTCAAAAGGTTTGTTTTTTAAAAGTACCATTTAAACGATGATTCCAATACACGCATCAAACAAACGGTCTCTGAGAGCTTTTTATAGGTGGTTTAGTTGTTTCGGGATGAGTTCAGGTGGCTTGGAATAATTTCTAAACATTCAAGGGAGTTCTGATGCCTTCTTCGCAAATTGTAGCATAAATATTATGTGGTTATAACCACATAAAAATTGGGTAATCTTGAAGCGGTCGGCTGCATTTTGAAGCAAATTCGTATATTTGACTTTATAATATGGTGTATTTTTATCATTATGGATCCAGAACGCAGCTCATCTTCTGAAATCTTTGTTTGAAAACATCTGCTTACGTCAATTAAACCAGTATATAGAGTTTTTAACTTTGTTATTATTCCGGGTGACGCAAACGGAGACTGTCTGTATTCACATGTTTCATCTGGCAGTCATTTCTGTGTCTTGTATACTTATCAAAGTACAGTTGCAGATACTCATCCACTGAGTCATGCGATATTCAATTATGTGTCGGAGATATGCTTGACTGACGAATGTCTTAGCAGCCTTGCAATTCGATAGACTTAGCATTGTTTATGGAGAGTGGATTTGTGTCGGGTTAACATGTAAAAGAGAAGGCGTTCAGCGAAGAGACTCTTTTCGACGGTGAATTCATTCACATAGCTGTACAATCGCATTGATATATAATTATTTGTGTGTGTGTGTGTGTACATGAGGTTTGTTAAGTTTAGATAATTGATCAGGTAATACAAGAATAATGTAATATAGAAACAAAGTTAATCAGACAGCAACTAAAGTAAGATTGACTTGGTAAGCTAGATGACGTAATGTAATTGACTAAAATGTTTCAACTTAGGTCAGGATAGTAACAGAGGTAATTACAGGTAGAAACTAAATAGAAGTGAAATTGAGCAAATAAGTTGGATGACGTAACATAAGTGACTAGAAACTGAGCGTTGTTCAAGTCAGTAACAGTGGTAGTGAGGTGTAGAAATTGAATCGGGTGAGGGTACATGTACACACACAAATAATTATATATAAATGCGATTGTACAGCTATATGAATGAATTCGCCGAAAAGAGTCTCTTCGCTGGACGTCTCTTTTTCATATGACTCAATGGGTTAATATGTGTTAATACATTATTACCCTTAGGTGACTTTATATGGTTAATGCAATTCAGTCAGTTATTCAAAATGACATCAGATACGTCTCGGAATGGAAGTCATTGATAACCACAACGGACGACATCGTTGCATAAAGCGATAAACTTATTGGGAATGTCTACTTTTATGATTCTGTTATCGGATATTCTTCCCTATCATGTTATGTTATTTTGTACTGCTTGTCTTTTTTATTGTCCGTATTGTACTACTGAAATAAATAATATGATCTAAACAAAACAAAATATACTCTGCTAATTCTTGAAACAACAGCGAAAGTAAAATGTCTTCATGGTGAGTGGGAACCTCGTTGAGACCTACACTTGTGGCTGTTGTTGTTACGCAAAATACAGTTATATTAACAGTGTACAAATCCAAAAATAGATGTGTTCCCCCTGAGGATTTTATATAAGATGTATATCAGATGTTTTATTTGCAGAGTACAAATTTTCTAGTACATACTATATTGTAGCTACTTTTTTCATTGAACACTAGTCAGTAACTGGTGTAATGTGTCTAGTCCTATCTTCGATGCAGACTGAATTCTATCAGTCATGTTTGCAATGTGGCCACCATGCTAGGTGGCTCGCCATTACGGTGCACTGTGAATTGTTGGTACTAGATGGTTGGAGGCAGGCAATCGGCAGGAAGCCTTGGACCTAGGTTTCGTGCTAGTTGGCACTCATCAGCAAGGCGTATCTGCAACCTTGAAGGAACTGATGTCCCTTCTGAGATTCGAACCCGCATCACCCAGTGCTGCAGTCAGAGACGTTACCACTGAGCTATTCAGGCTCGCGACTGACCTCCTGTAGGACTGTATTGGTAACGTCTCTGACTGCAGCACTGGGTGATGCGGGTTCGAATCTCAGAAGGGACATCAGTTCCTTCAAGGTTGCAGATACGCCTTGCTGATGAGTGCCAACTAGCACGAAACCTAGGTCCAAGGCTTCCTGCCGATTGCCTGCCTCCAACCATCTAGTGTCAACAATTGTAGCTACTGTCTATCATCTAGCCTACAAAGCTCATGTTTACTGAATTTTGTTCCCTAGCTTGTTTCTAATTGAGGTAGATTTTTCACAACTGAGTTCTTTCGTATTTTTTTTAAAAATTTTTCTGATACTTCAGATTGTAAAGCAATATTGCGTCTAGGAGATACAGGAGATTGGGTGGGGACATTCTTAGGCCATCAGGGAGCTGTATGGTCGTGTGCTTTTGACCTTCATGCCAATAAAGTGGCTACGGGATCGGCGGATTTCAGTGCAAAAATATGGTGTGTCAATACAGGCAAAGAATTGGACTCAATTCCCCATGATCATATTGTTCGCTGCGTTGAATTTAATCAAACTGATTGCGGTTCAATGTTACTCACGGCTGATAACAGTAAAAAGATTTCTGTCTATGATGTGAATTGCCCTCTATCCCGTAAGTGTATATATATATATATCTGCTTTTTAACAGTAGCACTGATTTCATTGATATAAGAATAAAACTTGGACACTGTGGTAGAGTATAATTCCATTATGGGTAAATTTTATTTTGATAAAGTCTCACGGTGTTATACAGTAATATTTACTGATGACGTTTCGAGCACAATTTATTGCTTATAAAAAATAAAAATAATTGTGCAACTAGTAATAAGAACATAAATGAGAGGGAATATAAGTCATCTACAGTTATACCATATAAAGAGGGGACATCTGAGACCCTACGTAGGATTCTAAATAAAGCAGGAATTAGCCTGGTGGCATTTAAACCTGCAAACTCACTCAGGGACAAGCTCTGTAGGTTAAAGGACCTAGTGGACCCAATTAGACAAAATAATATAATTTACAAAATACCCTGCAATGACTGTTAGGTAAACTACATAGGTCAAACTAGTAGATCGGGGGTAATCAGATTGTCTGAACATAAGAATTTAGCTAAGGTAAGAATGGTTGACCCCAGCCGAGAAGATAAGTAATTTAGAAAGGCAGCTCAGCACTACATTGCACTGCACGCATTAACAAACAACCACACATTAGCATGGTGGGGGAGAGTTAAGATTCTAAGAATTAATCTAGGTAGGTGGAGAGAGAGAGGTTGATTACTGAATCCTTGTTCATCGAATCTACACCCAACACATGCAATAGGAATGAATCATCACTCATACCCGAAATATGGAAAATATTACTACCAATGAAATCAAGTGAAAAACAACGGAACTATATAAATGAATTTAGGAAGTCGTGTGATTACCTTGATTTGATTATGAGCAGTAATAAATTGTGCTCGAAACTTGGTCATCGGTAAATATTACTGTATAACACTGTGAGACTTTATCGAAATAAAATTTATCCATAATGGGAGCACTGATTTCGTTGTAACGAATTCATTTAATCTGGGCTTTTCTGGCGTTTTCATTTTTTTTTTAATTATACAGCTTTGTCTGTATTTGTGGGGCATGAAGAGACAATTTATCGGGTTGTTTGGTGTCATGGAGATTCACTGGTCCTATCTGTATCAGGAGATAAAACTATTCGGTTAGTAAAACATGTATATGTATATGTATCATAATAGATTTGATGCTTTAACATTATTTACTTTAGCACCTTGAGCAGCAATCTTCGTATGTTTGGCATGCGATTCGCCCCTATAAAATGTAAGATGCTGCTACAGGAATGACTGGACTACGTCAACTCCTAGCTTAGTAGTGATAGGGAGTGAAGTGATAGAACACCATGTTGACCACTTCACCAACGGATTGATTGGTGACGAAATCTCAGCACGGATCCGATCCAAAAAGCTCGAGCTGCTTTTGCTAACTTACACCATCTCTGGCGAAGGCGTGACATCCGACGTGTGTACTGCTCAGCAGTTCTCTCCGTCCTTCTCTATGGCTGGCTCTGAAACATGGCCAATACGAGTTGAAGACGTGAGACGGTTGTCTGTTTTTGATCATAGACGTCTACGATCCCTTTCTCACGTCAGGTGATATAATAAGGTAAGTAATGTTGACATTAGCCCTAGAGTGTTGGGCAAAGAGGCAAAATCAATCGACGAGGCTATAAAGTTACATAGATTGAGATGGCTAGGTGACGTGCTGCGCATGCCTAACCATCGTCGCCTCCCCCTCCCGACAGCCATTACTAGCTGATTGACATAGGTGCAGGTTGGAAAAGAGTAAGTGGTGCCATGCCAAACAAAAACATGGCCTCATCAATCCATGAAATCCTTGACAGTTAAACTGAGTCAGTCAGGTAGGGAGGGAGATGCAGACTTCCGGGTTGGGGCCCGCCCTCAGGACTCTAAGAATCAATGGCTGGAGACAATAGGTGACATACATGGCTCAAAATCGTTGTCAATGGCTTACGCAGATGTATTCAGTCTCTCGTGTAATCTTTCATATTCCTTTCTACCATTACTCATTCTGTTTCACTCTTATACTTGTCAAAACTCTATTGATTGATTCTCTTCACTCATCCATCTTCTTGTCTACCTTTGTGTGGTATTTGGAAGGAGGCAACTGGAACTGCTGCACTTCGGTGCCAAGTTCTATGTTGAATCCAGACAGACAGACAGACAGCACTATAGATGTAATTTCTAGTCACTTATAACCTAGTTCACATTCATTTAAGCAAGACCTCGTGAATGGGAAACTTGTGGTTCAATACCCAAGATCAGATGGCCGGCGAGAAAAGATCAGCAACAGGGTGGGATCTCTGGGAGCGAAACAACACAGCAGGTACCGTTTGTGCAACAAATAGGCAGTAAGAAATGGAGATGGATTGGTAGGCCATACTCTGAGGAAACAAAGCATCAAGTGACATCACTAGACAAGCCATTGCTCGAGTGGAACCCGAAAGGGAAGCGGCGAGTTGGTCGTCATTGCAAGGGTGAGGGTGGCTTGGAGGAGGTCATGTGAAGAGGAGATGAAAACGTGTGTGATGGCAGACTTGGAGCCAGGTGAAGACTCTAGCAGAGAAAGGAACGCAATGGAGACGCAGGGCTGAAGCCCTATGTTCCTCTAGGAATTAAAGGAAACAATAATAATTATTATTATTATTATTAAGTAGTAAAGTATTTCGAATACAAAGATTTTAGCTACTCTTTGTTAGAATTTCCTCAATGCGAGTTAACTGCAGTAACTAAGAAAGTTGTGAGAAATTGGAAAAGACCTATAGAAAATCTAGTGTGCGCTTTGTAGTCAGAACATTTCTTTTGCTATTTTATAAAGCTATCGGTAGAAATCACACACACACACACACTTAGGTTTATTGTGCTTACAGTGTGCTCCTCATTCGGATCAACACTCATGTGAAGTCAAGAATATCCATCCTCTTAAAATAGAAATAAAGCTTAGATTAAGGAGTAGCAATAGTGATAATATCTGCATTCCGACCTGGCCATTAAGAGTGGAAGACATGGAAAGGCTGATTAGCTGTCTTTGATCGTAGGTGCCTGCGTTCTATCTCCCGTGTGAAGTGGTATAATTAAGTGAGCAATATTGAGGTTAGGCGTCGGTCGAGTGCTAGGTAGGTAGGAGGGGAAATCAATCGACATGGCTGTGAAGCTACATCGACTGAGATGGTTAGGACATGTGTTACGCATGCATGCCTAGTCATTGCCTTCCTCGACAATGGGCAATGTTAGCTGACCTAGGATGGGTCAGGCTGGAAAAGAGCTAGTGGTGGTCAAACGAAAACATGGCTTCACCAGTCAATGAAATCCACAACAGTTAGTTTAAGCCAGCCGCGTAGGAAGGTGTAGACTGGCTTCCTGGTTGGGGTCCTCAGGACGGTAAAAACCAATGAAGGCTGGAAACAATTGGTGACATGGCTCAAAATCGTTGTCAATGGCTGGCGCTCTATTATGCATTTCTTTTACTTTCTTCTGTTGCTTTGTATGCTACATGAATTTTGGTGACTTGAACTGCCGCACATATGTGGAAAGTTCTATGTCGAATACAGACAGACAGACAGAATAGGATTCTCTAGGCAAGATGTTTTATGACTTAACATTTCATTAATTGTTCATTTAAATTTAAAGTATGGTAAAGTGCTTACAGTAAATTCGTACAAATACATGGTAGACAGTGCTTCGGTGGTTAAGCGGTAGAGCGCTGCCCCCCCTCGCCCCCGCCTCCCTCCCTCCCTCAGTCGGTTACAATCCTGACAAAAAGAGAAGATTGGGTGAAGTGCTAGCAAACGTAAAAACACCATTGCTACTGAAATTTCAAAACTACAGCTTGAAGCCCTATGTTCTCTTAAGGGATCGCAAAGGAATAAAAAAACACACGTTAAGCAATAATATACATATTCAATACAAAAAACGTAGAGATGATGTTAGTATCTACTCTTTGACTTCTCCCTTAGGCATAAACGAGATCTACAAACACTAGTTAGTTCTCATGAAGACTGTTGCATTGAGTGGACTAAAATTGAAACTAAGTCTCATGCTAAATACCTCGTTCTAGTTCTATCTTCCGACCTTACTTGGACATCTCATATCCTAATGATTTCTAAGAAAGTGTTCTGTCTAACCTACTACATTAAGGAAGTAAGACAATCTGGAATCACCCAACCTATACTTTCACAATTTGTCAACTCTTGTATCTTACCTATTCTACTTTACTGCTTCCCATCATTCTTTCCTGGTCTACTGAAAAAGGACTATGCCATCCTGAGAAGGATGTTGAAGGTAGTCAGTAGGACTAGTGGTGTAAAACTCAGTCAGCTAGTCACAACATAAGTTGAAAGGCATCTAGATATATGCGAAAAATAGTCTAAAACCATACTCTCCGACCCCCAACACCCCCTCTACTCCCAACTCTCTCCTTGTATCTCATCAAGTAAAACCAGAAATCAGTATAAAATAATCTTTGCTCGTACAGCCAAGTACAGGAACTCAACGATACCATACTTGGCCCGTGTTCTAAGCGACAGAGACAATGTTAAGCGCGAAACCTATGACTTGCTTTGTTGTTAATAACATAATTTTAGGCTCTCTTATTTCTCTCTTATTTTGTATTCTATAGTGAACTCCTTCTTAAACATACTTAACTACCTGAATTATTAACATTGGCTTACTTTTTGTACTTTATTCCTTCTTTTGTGTATCTACTGGTTCCGACTATATCAGCACTATGAGTAGTACAAAATGGTCCTGTCATTAACCATCATGTAATTATTAGTTTTGTGGTTGTTTTTTCTTATTCTCTATACTTTTCGGCAATATTAAACTGACAATCATTGGTTGTGAACGCCTTTGTCACCACCTTAAAAATTTTGTATTATGCAGGATTACTCACACTACCACTACAAACACTGCATTAGACCTGAGAATAAAAAACCAAACAACAACCCTGAAATGTTCTTTTATGATTGTTTAGAGTTGTTTCAACCAAACTAACTGATCTACAATTAAAAGCGTTCTCTGAGCTGGTTGGTTTAGTCGCTACAAATCTCCTCTATTATTTCAAAAACTAACTGATCATCTTGGCGATAAACATTCTTAAATATCATTTCATAACTTCTTGTATGATTATAGCTTTACTGTCACCATGCATAATCATATCATAGCTTCCACTACCCAATACTGAGATATCATTTATTATGTTGTTTATTTTCCTTTCCACTTCTTGATATTTTTTTCGCAGTTTTTAAAAATTATTTTGTGTTTTTCCTGTTTTTTTGCTGTTGGTGTCTTTATATTTCTTTTTTGAAATACTCCTTTTAAATGTTTGATAAAATTAGATGCAAATATTGTAGATATATGCTGAAAAATCCACACTGTACCACTAGTACTGTTTCTGGAATAAAGCAAATTATTATTATTATTTCTTTTGATTGCCCATGTCCAGCATTATTGTGTGTGTGTGTGTGTGTGTGTGTGTGTGTGTAAGACTAACTTTTAGGATAGTTTTTTTTAATGTTCTATTAAACACTTCATTATCTAGTTTATGGGATCGTCGAGTTCCTCGGTCAAAATCAGTGTCGACTTATCTATGGGCTAAACAGTTCCCCGATCCGATTACTGATATACAGCTGCTGCATTTGCCAGATTGTGATGAAACTCCTTGTGATGCTTTAGTGGCATGCGGGAAATCAGTTCACTGTTACTATTTTGACTGGAGACAAATAAGCCTAACAACAACAACACAGGCTCCAGAACCTGATGTCACATTCAATTTACCGTGTACAGTGAATACAGCCAGTCGTCATCCGTTTGAGAAATTTTTTGTCTGCGGCGGAGAAGATCACTACATATATCGATTGGATTTGGAAACCGGTGAAGTGTTAGGTAAGCATTTAGATTTTTTCTTAGTGTGTGTATAGTAATGGAATATGAAAGGTTTATTGTCAGGAATAAGGTGGTAGATTGATTCATCAGATTGTGCTGAGAGCTGGTCATTAAACGTTGACCGCTTCACTTACTTGGGAAGTACCATCACAGCCAGTGCCAACGGGTTGATCTCCGACGAAATCTCAGCTGAGTACGGATACACAGAGGGCTAGTTTCGCATATGCCCGCCAGTTTACACCGTCTCTGGCTTAGTAGACGTGATATCCGGCTGGCTGTCTGGCTGTCGACCAAAGGGCGTGTGTACTGCTCAGCCAGTAGTCCGCTCCGTCCTCCTTTATGACTGGCTGGCTGTGAGACCTGGCCGTTGAGAGTGGAAGACATGAAAAGATTAGCTAGCTGTCTTCGATGATAGGTGTCTGCGTTCTATCTCCTGCGTGAAGTGGTATAATTAGGTGAGCAATATTGAGGTTAGGCATCGGTCGAGTGCTAGGTAAGGTGGGGAAATCAGTCGACGAGGCTGTGAAATTACATCGACTGAGATGGTTAGGACATGCGCTACGTATGCCTAGTCATCGCCTTCCTCGATGGGCATTGTTAGCTGATATAGGGCCAGACTGGAAAAGAGCTAGAAAAGAGCGGTGGTCAAACCAAAACATGGCTTCACCAGTCAATGAAATCTACAACAGTTAGTTTAAGCCAGCCAGCCACGTAGGAAGGTGTAGGCTTCCTGGTTGGGGTCCTCCGGACGGTAAAAACCAATGGTTGGAAACAATTGGTGACATGGATCAAAATCGTTGTCAATGGCTGGCGCAGATGCATTCACTCCTTGTGACTTATAATACCCAATAAAACTACATTGCTCTTCTTTACTACTATTCCTTTGTCTCACACCTCTGTTTACTGTCTCTCTCTATTATGCATTTCTCCAACTTTCTTCTGTTGCTTTGTGTGCTACATGGAGGGAGTGTGGCGACTTGAACTGCCACACATCGGTGCAACGTTCTATGTCGAAAACCGACCGACCGGTCATTAATCCATTTTTAATTGGTAAATAACCCACGAGAATGGATTACACCGTGTACCATCTGGCTGTTCAAACCTTTTTTTAGGTCAAGTTGGATTCAAATCTATGCTAGGACTAGTCATCTAGGAACTAATGTCATAGATGATTAGAAGGATACTAACACTGAAGAACATGGGGATTTGAAGCTTTGTGATGAGAGATGAGAAAAATTTATCATGTAGAAGTGAATGCAGTAGAACTTGCCAATAGACACAGTCATGGAAAATTCCCATTGTAACATATAGAAAATTAAAACAAGTGGTCAGCGAAGAGACTCTTTTCAACAACGAATTTATCATCAAGCTGTACAATCGTATATACACATATGGTTTTTAAGAAGTTATATCCGGTGAGGGAATTGAATCATAGGTCTGAGTGAATGCATAAAATAATCATAATAATATGAAATGCAATTAAAACTAAAATGTTTGTGATCATAATCGTAGTTAAATGTCAAGTGGCAAAGCAAATTAATGTCATACATAGAATAATTCATAGGATGGGTAGAACTTGGTAGGTGAAGGGTGTACAATTATAAGATTGGTAGACAAATCGAATAAAATAAAAACGTTACGTAATATTGTGTGAAATTTAATAGCATAGAATTTAATGTTGCATAAATGAATTGATTTAGAATGACAAGTGGAACAAGTGAAATAATACCGGGGACAATTAAAAGTGAGAGTACTAATAGTAACAATTGACATTGTAATAAAGGAAGACAATACAAATTGAACAGACAAAAATGAAAAAATGGAGAGTTGGTAGAGCTAAAGTATGATTGGGGATTACCATACTTTAGCATAGACGAGGGATTAAGACCATGAAAGTTGGAGGGGTTGATTGAACTTTTTCTGTACACAGAGATCTGGCTTTTCTGTTTCGATAACCAAAGATGGCTTCAGCAATACAGATGAGTCGGGTACGTAGGGATTTGGGTAAATTACTCTTTGCCTTGTAGATGAAGGCGGAGGCTATAGAGATAGGGTGTTCATTATCTCAAGGAGATGTTCAATGATCTTGCTTCTTATTGCTCCACTTCCACCTCTTCGTAACTACCATGCAGGATAGTGTTCTTGCACCCTCTTGGACAAAACTCGAGTCGAACGACCGATATACCTATCTCCACAGGAGCAGGTGAATTGATAAACACACACATAGAGTTGGTCAACAGCGGGATCTTGTCCTTCAGGTTATTGAGCAGCATAATAGTCGACTAGTAAAGGCTATTTATTCTCAGAGATGCAGCAGGGAATGTTCTTTTCAGGGACTGTGTGATATCCTTCGTTTCATGATGATATCGGAAGCTAAGAGTCCCCTTTGAATTCCAAACTCATGTGAAGTATTTTCTTGGGTACGGTTGATAAGTCACTTTTTTTTAGGATTCGAATGTATATTCTTATCTGTAAAACGTGGTGGAAATCCATCTTCTATTAGGATTTTCCTCAAGACTTATAACTCATCTTCGACAGTATCAGGGCTACATATGCGCTGAATGCGATTGGCAAGCGACCGGAGTAGGTTTCGTTTTCGACCAATGGGTACCCAGCTGTAGAAATTTGTCAGTTGACCATTTCATGACAGCTTAAGATAAATCGATCTCTTCAGAGTTCCATCGATCCTCCGTGATAAGTTCACATCGAGGAAATGAATAATGCTAGACTCGTTCTCCAGTCTCCAGTGTTGACACAATGTCTATCTATTTATCCAATGGGATTTGGATGCATAACTGTCCAATCTGACTAATCCAACCTATCCCTGAGAATGCTGTAGTCATGTTGTTTTTAAAGAATAGCTTTAGAATTTGATGTTGTACTCAGCAACTTGGCACAATTTTTTCTTCATTTAACAGGTAGGTAGGTCATAAGCTACACTTATACTCTGACGGTTGATGATGATACTACAAAGTCTTTCAGTCAAACACACTGAAGCCAATTAAACAACATTGTTCCGGTTTGTGGAACCCCGAGAACTGAGCTCAGTACTTCTCGCTGTTAGAACTTGTCACCGAAGTGCAGCAGTTCGAGTTGCCACCTTCCAAATAGCGCACAAAGGTAGACAAGAAGATGGATGAGTGAAGAGAATCAATCAATAGAGTTTTGACAAGTATAAGAGTGAAGCAGAACGAATGAGTAATGGTAGAAAGGAATATGAAAGATTACACGAGAGACTGAATACATCTGCGTAAGCCATTGACAACGATTTTGAGCCATGTATGTCACCTATTGTCTCCAGCCATTGACTGATTCTTAGAGTCCCGAGGGCGGGCCCCAACCTGGAGGTCTGCATCTCCCTCCCTACCTGACTCAGTTTAACTGTCAAGGATTTCATGGATTGATGAGGCCATGTTTTTGTTTGGCATGGCACCACTTACTCTTTTCCAACCTGCACCTATGTCAATCAGCTAGTAATGCCCGTCGGGAGGGGGAGGCGATGATGGTTAGGCATGCGCAGCTCGTCACCTAGCCATCTCAATCTATGTAACTTTATAGCCTCGTCGATTGATTTTCCCTCTTTGCCCAACACTCTACGCCCAACCTAACGTCGACACTACTTACCTTATTATGCCACCTAACGTGATAAAGAGATCGTAGACATCTATGATCAAAAACAGTCAACCTTTTCATGTCTTCAACTCGTATTGGCCATGTTTCAGAGCCAGCCATAGAGAAGGACGGAGAGAACTGCTGAGCAGTACACACGTCCTTTGGTTGGTTGATAGCCGGATGTCACGCCTACGCGAGAGACGGTGTAAGTTAGCGAAGGCAGCCCGAGCTTTTGGGATCGGATCCGTGCTGAGATTTCGTCACCAATCAATCCGTTGGTGAAGTGGTCAACATGGTGTTCTATCACTTCACTCCCTATCACTACTAAGCTAGGAGTTGACGTAGTCCAGTCATTCCTGTAGCAGCATCTTCTCGCTGTTAAGCTCCTAGCAACGAAGGAGGAGTCATTAAAGGGGATTTATTAGGTGCAACTATTCAAAATTGGTTTTACTGTTGCGCATGTGTGTTGACATATATATTATTATCACAAACTCTTTCACATAAATCCCCCTTTTTTGTTTTTCTTTCTTCTAAATTTTTAGAAACATGCAAGGGACATTTTGGTCCAGTACATCGTGTGAAATTCTCGGCTAACGGTGAATTATTCGCAAGTTGCAGTGAAGACGGTACTCTGCGTTTATGGCAAACTGTTGTTGGAACCGACTATGGCCTATGGAAATTGGTTGTACCAAATCAAACAACTGGTGATACGTGCACAACAACACAACAACTACACCGGAGGCGACTCTAAATGGACAGTCTGTTACAAGTCTACCTGAGATGAACTGAACTGAACACACAGTTGATCTGCCTGCTTCTTTCTGTCTTATGTGATTCTTCCTGTCTGTAAATGAGATTTCCCCATTTTTTCTATTGGAGATTGTATTTTTGTTCTCTTCTTTTTCATTGTCTATATGACATCTATCAGTGAGATTTTCTTCTTTTTAGTGTACTTATGCGAATTATGTGCTGTACCAAAAATACAATTCAGTGATAAAGACTTTTTTCCAGTAAAATAAGTGTTCTGAGTTACCTGGTATTTCGGTCGGTCGGTCGGTTTTCGACATAGAACTTTCCACATATGTGCGGCAGTTCAAGTCGACACACTCCCTCCATGTAGCACACAAAGGAAGAGAAGACAGTAGGAGAAATGCATAATAATATAGACAGTAAACAGAGGTGTGGTGAGACAAAGGAATAGTAATAACGAAGAACAAAACAATTTCGTCGGAAATCATGAGTCACAAGGAGTGGATGCATCTGTGCCAGCCATTGACAACGATTTTGAGCCATGTCACCAATTGTTTCCGGCCTTCATTGGTTTTTACCATCCCGAAGACCCCAACCAGTCAAGAAGCTAGTCTACACCTTCCTACGTGGCTTAGACTAACTGTTGTAGATTTCATTGACTGGTGAAGCCATGTTTTGGTTTGACCGCTGCTAGCTCTTTTCCAGCCTGACCTATCCTATGTCAGCTAACATTGCCCATTGTCGAGGAAGATGATGACTAGTCATGCATACGTAAGAGATGTCCTAACCATCTCAGTCGATGTAATTTCACAGCCTCGTCGACTGATTTCCCCTCCTACTTACCTAGCACTCGACCGAAACCTAACCTCAATATTGCTCACCTTATTATACCACTTCACGCGGGAGATAGAACGCAGACACCTATGATCAAAGACAGCCAGCTAATCTTTTCATGTCTTCCGCTCTCAATGGCCAGGTCTCACAGCCAGCCATAAAGGAGAACTGAGCGGACTGTTGAGCAGTACACACACCCTTTGGTCGATAGCCAGTCGGATATCACATCTACTAAGCCAGAGACGGTGTAAACTGGCGGGCATATGCGAAACTAGCCCTCTGTGTATCCGTACTCAGCTGAGATTTCGTCAGAGATCAACCCGTTGGTACTGGCTGATGGTACTTCCCAAGTATATATATATATAAATCTGATTTTTCACGAATGAATTGCTCCTGTTAGTTATAAGACGGTGCTGCAGGACTGGACTTCTCTGCCTCATGTTTTAAAGGTAGGCAGTGAAGTGATGATGTTCAGCGTGGGAAGGTTACATCAGCGCAAATTGCTGGAGAAATCTCAGCACGGATGGATACACACAGGGCGCTGATGTTTCATTTGCCTGCCAGCCTTTAACAGTATCTCCAGCGTAGACGTGATATCGTACGATCAAAAAGAAGTGTGTCCTGCGCAGTAGTGTATGCTTTGTCCACCTTTATGGCTATAGGACAACATGGCCATTGAAATTGGAAGGTATGAAAAGGCCAGCTGTCTTGATCCTAGGTGTCTGTGTTCTATCTCCCGTGTTAGGCGGTATAATAGCGTAATAGAGTAATTAATATTAAAGTTAGGCGACAACTGTTAGGTAAGAAGGGCAAGTAAATCGATGAGTTTGTGAAGGCGCATCGACTGAGTGCTTGCCAGGACACGCGTTACCACCATACTTATCTTCGTAGAGCAACGTTAGGCGGGCAAACGAGGATTAAACTGGGGGACAGAGTTAAGCGTAATTGAATCCAAACCTGGCATCAGTCGAATGCTTCTTGTTAATGGGAAAAAGAAGCTGGCGTATTGCGTTGTAGTAGATTTCCGCAGATGATTGATTCATTTTAACGCGGTGGTGTGTTTTTATTTATTGATAAGGTTTCAAGCAGAATTTATGGTTGATTGATATAAGAACAGAACTTGTGCGCTGTAGCAGAGTATAATTCCATTATAGTTAAAATTTATTTTGATAAAGTCTCACAGTGTTATACAGTAATATTTACTGATGACCAAGTTTCGAGCACAATTTATTGCTCATAGTCATATCAAGTCACTCACACAACTCTCTGACTTCGTTTATATGATTCCATGATTTTTCATCTCTTGACTTGGTTCGTAGTGTTAGTATTTTCCATATTTCTGGTATGAGTGATGACTCATTCCTATTGCACGTGTTGGGTGTAGATTCTGTGAACAAAGATTCATTAATCAACCTCTTTCTATCTCCACCTACCTATATTACTTTTTAGAATTTTGACTCTGTCCCACACACCCTAATGTGTCGTTGTGTGTTAATGCATGCAGTGCAACTGCTGAGGTTATTTTCTAAATTACTTATCTTCCCGGGTTCAATCATTCTAACATCAGCTTGATTCTTATGTTCCGACAATCTGACTACCCCCGATCTACTAGTTTGACCTATGTAGTTGACCTCAGTCATTGCAAGGTATTTTGTAAATTACATTATTTTATTTAATTGGGTCCACCGGGTCCTTTAACCTACAGAGTTTGTCTCTGAGTGATTTTGTAAGTTGGAATGCCACCCTAATTCCTGCTTTATTTAGAATCCTACGTAGGGAGTGTCTCAGATGTCCCCCTCCTTATATGGTATAACAGTAGATGACTTATATTCTCTCTTATTCGTGTTATCATTACTAGTTTCACAATTATTTTTATTTTGCTTTTGGCCTTTTTCGATCTTCCTAATGAATTTTATAGGATATTAGTTATTTGATACCAACGCCTCTTCTATCTGTTTTATTTCATCATTTAGGTCTTTTCTTGTACTACTTAGTGCTACTGCTTGGTTTGTTAGACACTTAACTGAACTAAGCCTGCCTTCACAGACAGTCAATGGATGAGCCGAATTGAAGTCTAAATATCTATTAGAAGAATGCGTTGCTTTTTTATAAACACTAGTGTGCAGTCTACCTTCTTCTGTTCGTTTTATTTTACAATCTAACGTGATAGCTAATGTTCCTTATTTATTTTCCGACTCAAATGTGAATTTTATTCCCTCTACTAGTGAGTTTATGTGTGTCAAGAAGCTCGAGATATGTTCTGTTTCTAACACTGTGAAAGTGTCATCCACATATCTCCACCATATTTTTGGAGTAGGATTAGGGGAATGTATTAAGAGCAATGTTTTCCCGGCTGTCTACTACGATAGGGGATATTAGTGATGCATCCCATTGCTACACCTTCTGTTTGTCTATATATTTTGCCTTGAAATTTAAAGATAGTAGATGTGAGGCATAACTGAATTGCTAAAATAATTTCTTCAATGGGCAGCTTTGTCCTATGAATGAGTTCAGAAACTGCAGTTAGTTCTTTTTTAACTGCTTCTAAGACGAGCATATTGATTGGTATATTAGTTTAAAGACTAGTTATATCGAAACTAACCATTGTTTCATCATTCTCTAGTTGAATGTCATTTAGTTTCTTTCTCATCTCATATGAATTAGTTAGTTAGTCTAGAGTTTGAAAGATTTTTAATGGGGCATACTATTAGCGCTAAGTGTTTTGATAATTCCTAAGTACGGGAATTCCTAAAGTCTACTATCGGTCTTATGGGGTAACCTGGTTTATGTATTTTAATAGTACCATACATTCTACTAGCATTATTAGTTTTAGACATTAAATTAAACCACCCATTGACGGCTTCATTCTAGGTATTAAATCAGCTCTAGATTTCTTAATCTTATACACTATTGTATCTACAGACTTCTTAATTTCCTCATATGGACGGACCCGTTTCTATGTGTTCAGTGACTTTCTTTATATAAACAGATTTATCCAAAACTGATGTAGAGTTTCCTTTGTCAGCTTTTGTGATGACGATGTTTTTGTCATTTTTAAGATTAATTAGAGCTTCTCTTTCCGACTTTGCTAAGTTTGCTTTCTTTTGCGCTGAAATAGAAACCAAGTCGGAAATTGAATACCTAGGCGGCGTCATTCTATCTGCTGATCTCTCCTGGTCATCTCATATCTTGACGATTTCTAAGAAAATATTCTGTCTTACCTTCTACATAAAAGAAGTTAAGACATTCTGGTATAACCCAAACCTTAGTCGTACAATTCGTTAACTCTCGCATTCTGCCTATTATTCTCTATTGTTCCCCCTTAGTTTTTCCCGGGCTACTGAAGAAAGACTATAACATATTACGCAGGATGTTAAAGGTTGTCAGCGGGGTAAGCAATGTGCCACTTAATCAGCTTGTTAATATTCTGGTCGACAGGCGGGCCAAATCCATTTTATCTAACTCACACCACCCTCTTCACTCACAACTCTCCCCCTGCATCTCATCAGGCAAAACCAGAAGCCCATATAGGAAACTGTATGCTCGCACCAGCAACTACAAAAACTCAACCATACCCCACTTAGCTCGTGTTCTGTGTGATAAAGAAAGCATTAGGCGTGACACCTATAATTCATTAAATAGTCAGTAGTATAAATGGACCTCGTCTTTCCAACTAATATCATTTATAGGTACAACGTTTTCTTACTTTCTTCTCTTTTTTCTGTTATGTGCTGCTTTGTTTCTTTCTCTCGCTTACGCCAGTAAATATGACAGCACCTACTTTTCTAACACCTTCAAACACTGTTCAGCTTTGGCATTGCTACCGACATGCCAATATGTTGTTGTCATAATGAACTGAGATTTCCTTAATCTATGTAGAATTCTATTTATTGATAATGTACACAAACTGGATGCAATACTGTAGTAGAAATGCTGAGAATTCCATTCTGTATCACAAGTACTGTTTTGGAATAAAGCAAATTATTATTATTTTTTTTAAGAGTTAATGCAGATTGTGCTCGAACCTCTTCTGCTGTCGTCTTATCTATTGAAATTAATGCTACTTCTATGTTAGGGATGACATCTTCTGGTTTCAGTCTGCTAACTGTTACATTGAAATTCAACTCTTTTCCCAAGTAGTTTTATCTCACTAGAGCTTAATTCTCTTGAAGAGAGAGAGAGGTTGATTACTCACTTCGTTTTTTCAATAGAAGATGAAATATTGTTGTCAACTTCTTTGTTGATTGTGCCGTTATTTTCTTCTAATAATCTGTTGAATTTCTTAATTTGTTGCCTGGATTTTGATTTCTTCAAAGATGCTTCTCTAGTTTTGTTGGATGTTTCAATCACAATTTCATAATCTTTGTCACTTAGCATGCATTTGAGTTTGTGTTTAAGATTTTCAATTTCATTTCGTGTATTCTTTAGCT